CAAGTCCGACAACGTCAGTACAAGTCTCAACAACATCAACGGGACAATCTGCGAAAGAAACAAGAAACATCATCAGCTGCAAGGCAAGATTAAGCGACTCCTGCGTAACTGAGTCACCACCACATTACTCACCAGAAGAACAACTCGACAATAGCACGCCTCGCCGCGAGTCACTTCAACCGAACCCGACGTACGCCGCCATCGCTCAAAGCGAGCCATCCGGGAAAGACACATGGTTCTTGGACAGTTGCTGCGAACAGCACATGTGCTCCTCGGGACGCTTCGTTCAACGTGAGCACCGACTTCAACGAGAGGTTGTCATCACAGTCGCCAACAACCAAAACCTGCGCACACGACGACAGGGAATTGTGCAACTTCAGTCACGAGAGACAAATGTTATACTACAGATGTCAAATGTACTAATTGTCAGAATCCCAACCACTAGACCATTGGGATAAAAGGGCTTGTTTCAGTAGCGGGTCAGTGCGCCCCATAACCCCCCAGGCAAACGCGCCTGTAACCCTTCCCTAGGATCAATCGGGGATCACCAGTGGACCTCTGACACCCCCCTGCACTGGGATGCCCGAAGTGCATACACCGGGATTCGAACCCGAGACCTTCGCTCTGATACCATGTCAGAATCCCAACCACTAGACCATTGGGATAAAAGGGCTTGTTTCAGTAGCGGGTCAGTGCGCCCCATAACCCCCCAGGCAAACGCGCCTGTAACCCTTCCCTAGGATCAATCGGGGATCACCAGTGGACCTCTGACACTAATCGCAGAGGGACTTGGCTACAACTTACTGAGCGTCAGTCAGTTGATGGCGAAAGGCATACACCTGGAAGCCGACAGTACCACCCAGGAGTTCAAACTGTACCACGGGAAGGGCGGCCTCTACATCGGAAAGGCGCCTGAAGAACAACGTCTTCGTCCTTGACTTCGTCCCAGACCTGGTCACCGCAGTCCACGGCAACACTCTTCCTAAGGAGCCTGCGACGTTCAGCAGGCTCTGGGGGGGGAACACAGGGAAAAATGGCGTGAAGCCATGGACAGAGAGTTAAAGGCGCTGGAGGAACGGAACACCTGGAAAGTCGTCCCCATCGGCGTGGCAAGGAACAAAACCATTCTCACCAGGAAATGGGTCTTCCGCGTTAAAACAAAAGCAGACGGCACAATTGAGAAGTTCAAAGCACGCTGGGTCGTGCGTGGATTCGATCAGGAGCACGGACGAGACTTCACCGAGACATTCGCCCCGGTTAGACGATATACTTCACTCCGAATCTGTCAGAATAATATATAATTCTATATATTGTTTTGTAACTGCCTGTAGTGTAGACTACTGTAGTCATCTAACTTTCTGTTTGGTGGTGCACCTTTCTTCATTCTTGCCTATTTGTACTGCTCGCTCTATAGTGAAACCACCCTCTTTTGTTGCAATCTTCTCGACTCACCCAAACTCACTCGAACTCAACTACTCGACCTACTAGCTATGGCTCCTAAGCCTTCCTAGTACCTCAACATGTTATCAGAGTGACCAAGGTCCTCACCTGTGTGCCTACCCTAAAGCTTCCGCTGCTAAGCTGTGTTCGGCACGCCCCGTGACGTGCCCCTGGCCCTACGGCCGCGTCGCCTACCTACGACCCTACGGCCCCGTCGCCTACCTACGGCCCTACGGCCTCGTCGCCTACCTGCGGCCCTACGGCCCCGTCGCCTACTTGCGGCCCGGCCCCGTCACCTACCTGCGGCCCCGGCCCATCGCCGCCCTCGGTTGCGGCCCCGTCGCCGCCCTCACCTGCGGCCCCGTCGCCGCCCTCACCTGCGGCCCGTCGCCGCCCTCACTTGCGGCCCCGCCGCTCTCTGTTGCGGCCCCGTCGCCGCTCTCACCTGCGGCCCGTCGCCGCCCTCAGCTGTGGCCCCGTCGCCGCCCTCACCTGCGGCCTCGCCGCCCACATTTGCGGCTCCGCCGCCCTCCGTTGCGGCCCTGTCAACTACCTTGCGGCCCCGGCCCCGTCTCCTATACCTGAGGCCCCGATGTCACCTGCGGCCCCGCCACCTGAGGCCCCGTCGCCACCTGCGGCCCCGCCCACCCTTGCGGCCCCGCCGCCCACTTCGGCCCCGATACCACCTACGGCCCCGCCCACTTGCGGTCCCGACCCCGCCCCGGCCATGCCTCGTCACCAGATGCGGCACACCGGGGGCACGTGCACTGCCCCCCCCCCTCTTCCCGTCACCTGTCGCGGCTCCTTCGGGGGCCGCAGGCGACCTGGAAAGGGGGGGCAGGCGTCGCCCCCTCTGCCGCCTGCTTTGGCGCCCGGGGAGGCCGTGCGTCCCCCCCCCCCCACCCCTCTCCTCCTCCTTTTGTTCCCTCTGCTGCAGCTGCCGCTGGGGGGGAGGGTGTGAGGGTGTGGGGGAGCCCGGGGAGGGTCTGGGGGTGGCGGGTGTGGGGGTGATGGGTGATGTGTGGTCTCCCCTTCCCATCCTCCTCCGTTTGCCCCCCTCTGCTGCTCCTGCAGCAGTGTGGGGGGGAGGGGGAGGGGGAGGGTGAGGGGATGTAGGGGGTGACCAACCAGAGCCTACCACCTCCTCTCATCTCTCTCCCTCTCTCTCTCCTCCTCCTTGCCTGCCCTCTCCCGTTCTGCTGCGCACTCTGCCTCCTGTACCCCATTATGGGGGCGTTGACTGCACATTCTTCCCTACATGCACTTATGGGGGCGTGTCAGAATAATATATAATTCTATATATTGTTTTGTAACTGCCTGTAGTGTAGACTACTGTAGTCATCTAACTTTCTGTTTGGTGGTGCACCTTTCTTCATTCTTGCCTATTTGTACTGCTCGCTCTATAGTGAAACCACCCTCTTTTGTTGCAATCTTCTCGACTCACCCAAACTCACTCGAACTCAACTACTCGACCTACTAGCTATGGCTCCTAAGCCTTCCTAGTACCTCAACAGAATCCTCCTCGCGAACGCCGCCATGAAGAAAAAGAAACTGCGGCAAATCGACGTCGCTAACGCCTTCCTCTACGCACCCGTCGACGCAGAAATCTTCGTTGAACTACCGCACGGTACTAATGGAGAACCCAACCAGGTTTGCCAGCTGCTGAAATCGCTCTACGGAATCAAACAAGCCCCGCGGCTGTGGCAACAGCACCTACACACTCGCCTCACTCGCATCAGATTCCGCCAACTACCTCATGACCAAGGAATGTACCGACTCACGAAGGATACCAACTACATTTTGCTGATCGTCTACGTAGACGACCTACTCTACATTGGCTCCACTGACGACATCACCACCTGGTTTGAAGGGGAGCTGCAGCGAGATCTCACGCTCACAGTCTCATCTACCGTCACTCAGTACCTCGGCCTCAACATCCGCGAAGAAGAGAACGCGATCTATCTCAGCGAAGAAAAATATGCCGACACTATCGCCAAACGTTTTACGATCACACCAACAGCCATCTCCACGCCATACCGCTACACGGCAGGGAACCACGAAGGAGGCTCCGCCCTACTCAAACCCGCCGGCATACGAGACTACCAGAAGAAGCTGGGATGTCTTCTCTTCGCAGCCGTCACCTGTCGTCCCGACCTCTCATACTCCGCAAGCCAGCTCGCTACCTATCTCAAAAGGCCTGAAGCAGAACATCTGGCGGAACTCGACCGCGCTCTTCACTACTTCGTCAGCACCCCAACGGTCGGCCTGACCTACCATAAGAACGCAACTGCACCGCCTACGCTAATCGGTTACGTCGACGCAGATTACGCGGGCGACTCCGACAACAGACGATCGCGCACCGGCTATATCTATCGCTTCGAGCCTATCGGGCCTATCTCATGGCAATCGAGCAAGCAAGAACTAATTGCTCTCTCGTCAGCCGAAGCAGAATATATTGCACTCAGCACAACCACCAAGGAAGGACTCTACCTTCGCGAACTGCTAGAAGAAGCGAAGCTAGCCGAGTTACCCAACTTCATCCTGTTCTGCGACAACCAATCTGCAATTCGCATCGCCAACAAGAACGGCTTCGCGAACAGGACGAAACACATCGCCCTGCGATATTTCGTCGTGAAGAACGAGATTGAGAAGGGAAAACTCGTCCTGTCATACTGTCCCACGTCCGAGATGGTAGCTGACTACTTGACCAAGAAACTCGGAAAGAAGAAGTTCGAATACTGCATGTTGCTGACTGGACAGAGCCACGTCAGCGACACTCCAGAAGCGAAGGGGAGTGTTGGAAATAATCGATCCTAAAAACGCTTCTATCGTGTCGAAACACCAAGGCACAAGCGAAGCAGATCATATCGAGGCACCAGCGAGTCAACCCTCGGAGGTTGAAGTAACCGCTGGAGGTTACGTGAAAGTCAAAGGTCAGCGACCTTTGACCTGACAAAGGCAGCGCGACAGCAAGGACACACAACTGACTCGATATTGAGCAGTTGCCCGAGTCGCACTGTATCGAACCGCAACAGCCAACAGTAAGAAAGTTATCATTCATATCCCTTCGTATTCCTTATACTCTTATATAAGCCTTTGTACTTGTTTGCTTTAATTAACTTACTTTGCCCTCATATACCAGCGCAAGATGGTTCAAGATCTTCTCCTTAAAACGCTTCTGCTACTACATCACTTTACACAGAGTTTCATCCTACTAAAGATCCTAAGGGGCACTCAGCCCAACACTCTGGGCTCCAGGTCTTACCATACAGATCTAAGGTTCTCCAATCTGAAAATTTGTTGTACAGTTTGGGTACTATATGCATACCACATACGGTACACAGACACCTTTCCAGACGGCATTGAATCATTCTTCTCTACAAAATGCGCACTCCCTTCTGGTCTACCTCCACTGCATACCGTAGAATGCTACTGTAACATAACTCTGGTAGAACAGCAAATTTAAGACAGTGGTTTAGGTGAGGCGGCAAAACACATGAATGACAAGCCTCCTCGGTTCCTCGCTCCCGAATGCTGATTGCCCAGCAGCACGGCACTGGTCAGCGGCGCATGCGGGCACGCAGGCGGCGCAACTGGCGGGCAGAGAGGCGCGGCTTGAGGCGAGTGGAGGGCAGGGGGCGCGGCCTCAGCAGCTCGTCCAGCAGCCGCTCTGCTGCCACCTCCGTGGACGCCTGCGTGCACACACACACACAGACTAGGCAACCTGGTCAAACACAATTCGCTGTTGACATTGCCTGTGAACGCACACCAGCAACACTTTGATTTGGAAGAGATTGCAATGCAGGTGTGACCATCAGCAAGGGCAGCAGGCACCATCTTCCCACACTCAGCAGGCACCGCACCGGATATCTGAAGGGGAATCGCAAGGTCTGGAGTTCGAGGCCCATGCGCACCCTCACGTCTATGCCCAGGTGGTCTATGCCCGCCAGCCACACCTCCTGCCGTGCCATGCACCGGGGGAGACAGGGGTGCAGTGGGAAGGGGTGGAGGGGAGGAGAGGAAGAACAAGGAAAAAACACATAAGAGAGCAGCGAACATCAAATGCGGCATCCAGCAACCACCCACCATCCACATTCATCACACAACGCACCCACCAGTCCTTCCCCTGACCCAAGTGCCCCAACACACCTCGGCGTCTATCCCATGCTCGCGCGCACACAGGTCGCGCATGCAGCGCCGCGCGCGCTTAAGCGAGTTGGCGCGCTGCACTATGCTGTCCGCCACGTGCGCCAGCAGGTCCGGTGCCGCCTCCTGCCACTGCTGTGGCGCCACCTCCTCCTGTCACCCACACACACACACACACACACACACGCAGGGGTGGGGGAACAGGACAAGCACACACACAGATACTGCGAACGACAGGGAGCAAAGGAAAGGGCGATGTGGCGATTCCAAATAGCAGGAGGGGAGGTGCATGAAAGTTGTTGATAGGAGTGGAGTTGGGTGGGGTGTGGGCGAGCAGCGACCTGGCAGCCAGAGGAGGCGAGCAGCTGTATGTGCACGAGGTCCAGCCGGTACAGCACCGTGCGCATGCTGCCCTCCCACCCCTCCTCGCCCTCACTGCCCTCCTCGCCCTCACTGCCCTCCTCGCCCTCACTGCCCTCCTCGCCCTCACTGCCCTCCTCACTCTCCTCCTGCTCCGCCTTCACCACCTCCGCCCACTCAGCTGCATTGAACGATCCCACTCGTCCCACCCCTTGTCCCTGCACTGCCTCTCCCTGCTCTTCCCCTGCCACGACCCCTCCAGCGCCAGCAGCAGGCCTCAGCAGGTCACTTCCCTGAGACTGCTGCCCCTGCCCACCTCCTTGCGCTCGCTGCGCGTCCTTCTCTGGCCCCACGGCACTCAGCCACATGGCCCCAGGAGGCACCTCCAAAATCCCATCGCCTGTCCTCCCCACTGCTCTCGCCCCATCCGTGCTGCTGCTGCTGCCGCCGCCGCCGCTGCTGCTGCTGCTGCTCGCTCCCTGCGCACTCGCCTCACCATCCTCCCCTCTGCTCCCCGTCCCCTGCTGCCCCTCTGTCATCTCCTCCCACGCCCCCTGGCCCTCGTCCTGAGCCCAGCCTCCCTGAGCATCCCTGCCACTACTGCCCAAGTCACTGTCGCCATCACCATCACCAGGCCGCCAGTCAGCCCCCCACGAGACCTCGAAGGCCGCATCGCCATGGGCGTCTGGGAGGTCCGGGCGCGAGTGGAAGCAGGCGTCGCCCTGGAAGACGTGCTCCAGCCCCTCCACGCGGTACCCCACCACGCCCAACACCGTCTCCTCCTCCCGCCCTCCCACCCCCAACCCACTGCCCCCTACCCCTGCTGTGCCGCTGCTGCTCTCGCTGGCCCCGGCCGCTGCTGCCGCTCTCGGCTCCGCCCTGGCCGTGGGTGCTTCCGGCTTCCGCACCCTCATGCTGCCCTCGCGCTTGCCCTTGCTGCTGCTGCTGCTGCTGCTGCTGCTGCTGCTGCTGCTGCTGCTGCTGCTGCTGCTGCCTGCTTCATGCCCTTCACTAACCCCTTCCGCCTGCTTCTCCTGCACCTCGTCCCGTCTCTCCTCCTGCCCTACCCCTGCAATCGCCTCTTCTGCTCCTGCAAGAACAGCTTCATCCACACGAGCAGCAGCAGCAGCCGCGCTGCCTGTGCTGCCATCGGCCTCGCTCTCACGTCCCTGCAACACACTCGCCTCACTCGCCTCCACACCACCCGCACCACCCTCCCCCTCCCCCTCCCCCTCCCCCTCCCCGTCCCCGTCCCCGTCCCCGTCCCCATCCCAGTGGTCCTGGTCCTCCCGGCCATCGTACGAGGCTCGCTCCCCCAGCAGCCCGCGCACGCGGAACTCCTCCTCCGACGACAGCGGCCGCACCCGCGCCACCAGCAGCAGCCGCTGCACCGGCCGCGTCATGTCCGCCATGGGGTCCGCGCCCACCGCCTGGGGGGACGCATGGGGGCGCATGGGGCGCATGGGGGCACATGGGGGCGCATGGGGGCGCATGGAATTGAGCGCCTAAAGAGGGAGAGAGAGAGAACGAGCGAACGATAAATTTTTGAAACGAAAGGGAGTCAGCGGAAGAGAACGGAAGCGCGAGAGGGCGGGAGAAGTGGGGAAGAGGGTGGGGGGGAGGGAGGGGGGAGGTGGTGTGGGTCAAAAATCAGCAAGAGATTACGATTTAAGCGAACAGCGCGAATAAGGGGGAGAGGAGGGAGACGGCGAGGGCAGCAGCGGAGGAAGGTACGTACGCTGATCATCTTGTCGGCGAAGTACACGGGGTGCACCCACTGCAGCGTCTCCCGCCCGCCCCACGCGCCCAGCGACCCCAGTGCCTCTGGCGACAGCGTGTCAAACAGGTGGTCCGCGTCCGGCCCTATCATCGCCCGCCAGAACTGCCGCGCATGAGGGGGGCGGGGGAGGAGAGACGCGGGAGCGGGTGATGAAGGGGAAGACACACGGACGACGATGAGTGAGACGGGGCGAGGGCGGGAGGGGAAGTGGGGAGGTTGATGAGAGGGAACAGTGGAATGAGAAGGAAGCGTTTCCCACTCACATGGCGATCGTCCTCCGACAACACCAAGTCCTCGTCGTCGCCCTTCTCGTCTTCATCATCATCATCATCATCATCATCATCATCATCATCATCATCATCATCATCCTCCTCCTCCTCCTCGTCGTCCCGCTCCCCCCTTGCACCCTCGCCGCCACTGCCAGCCCCTCCCAGCAGCAGGTTCAGCGACTGCCAGGCGTCGCCGGCCCGCCCGCGCAGGTCGCTGCCCCTGAAGCCCCTCTCGTCGTCGCTACCGTCGCTACCGTCGTGGTCGCCGTCTTGCAGATGTTGCGCGTCGTCCGCCGTGCCCTCGATGAGGTCGTCCAGCGCCACCTCGTCCATGCCGCCGAACCCCACCAGCGCCTGGAATCAATGCACCACACACGCCACACGCACGCGCATGGGGCAAGAGAGAGAGAGCGGGCCGCACACGAGTGTGCGCGTTGAGGCGGGCGGTAAGGGAGGCGGGAGCACGAGGACTGGCATCGGTGTGGCAGGAAGCATGGCAGTGCAGCGAAGCGTGGCACGCAAAGAAGGAAAGCACGGTGCAGGGCGGGGCACGGCGGGGCACGGCGGGGCGGGGCGGGGGGGCCCGGGGGAGGGGGGGGGCGGGTGGGGAGCACTGACCGAGCAGAGGCGCGCGTCCTCGTGGAGGATGCGCAGGAAGTCGTCGTCCTCCTCCACCTCCACGAACACATCTGCACGCCGCCATGCGCCACACCGCGACGGGCCGGGGGAGAGGAACGCAGGGAGGATAGTGAGTGCGGATGAGGGACGGTTGCAGGCCGGACACCTGATACGCACGGTACCGCGCTGCCCTCACACCACCATCCCCACAAGGAGTTCCGCCGCTCTGGCATCTACTGCCTCCTCGCCCAACGCGCAGCCACTACCCGAACTGCCCTTCCCCATGCCCGCCCGCCCCCCTTTCCTCCTTGCTCTCCCACCGCCTTCACCCGTCCCTGCACCCCCTACCCGGCACCCCTGCCCCCCTGCGCTACGCTCATCCGCAGTGCGGGGCGCCAGGCCGCGCGGCGTACCTCCGTTGTGGTCCACGACGAAGCGCGCGTCCGCCGCCAGGAAGCCCGCGGAGCCCTCGGCGAGCGCGGCGAACACGATGGCCTCCCCGTTCACCTGCCGCCGCGCGGGGGGCACGGCGCAAGAAGGGGGAGAGGGAGGGGAGGGTGGGGAGGGGGGGTGCACGAGGAGGGCGCAGGTGGGCGGGCGCAGGGGGGTAAGCAAACGGAGGAGGCGCAGAACAGAGGGCGCACGGTTACGCATGGGGAAGCTCGTGGGGCAAGGAATGGCAAGCCCGTGGAGGGGCTTGAGCGCGTCGCTGATTGGGCGTAATTGTGGATGTGACGTAGCGATCGAGCAGATCCAGGCATCCGCACGGCGGTACAGTGTGGACGGCACGACGACCGCAACACACAACCCCGCCCCACAGCCATATTCATCCTCACTCCTCCCCCCCCTCCCCCTCCCCACTCCCCCTCACCCTAATTTTCCTTCTCACCTCCGCCACGGTGCGCGCCACCTCCGCCGGCGATAGCTGCGCTGCGCCACCGCGCCGGCCGTCCTTGCCCACGCCTGCGCGCCCTCCGCCGTCCTGCTCCTCCGCCGGCACGTGCTCCAGCGGGTGGTACCCAAGCGCACTCGCCGACGGCGGCTGCGACGCTGAATGCGGGGGCGCGGGGCCACCGGCGCCCCTTCCGCCGCCACTCTTCTTGCGGAAGGGCAGCCCCGCTGGACCCGACGGAGTCCCCGCGGCACCGGCTGCTGCCGTGACGCGTGCGCGCGCAGGGGCTGGGCGCCAGCGCAACGAGAGGGAGGGCGGAGCTTGGTTATGCGAGGAGAGGGCGGAGGAGACAGCCCGCAGGGGCGTGGAAGACGCAGCGACGGGGCCGTGCAGGAGGAAAAGCATAGGCCTTGCACGGGGCGTCGCAGGTGGCGGCTGCACGGCCGCTGTGGAACCCCGCACTGGCTGCGACGACACCGCAGAAGTGGACACCGGGTGCACAGACGACAGCATGGCTGCGCTGCGACCACGCCGTAGTCCTATGGCGGGACAGAGGGGAGAAGGGAACACCGCCGATCACGGCACGGGGGGTGGTGAGGGAGAGCGGACTACTCACCGCAATTAACGTGAACGGCAAAGCACTGGGTTGTGGAGAGTAGCAGAGGATAAGCAAGTCGCGTGTGGGCAAAGAGAGATCGACACCGGCAGTAAGAGCACGAAGTCATTCTTTGAGGGGAATTGCTCGTTCAGCGGACGTTTTGACGGAGTTTAGGTGGGAGACAGCGACGCATCCACGCATCGGCGACCAACAAGTGATTTCTATTATTTAGATTCTGTCAGGAGGCAATACAGCGGGAAGAAACCATCTCAGACGAGCGACAAACAGTAAGAGTGAGAGATTGCCGACCTGAAGTCGGGAATGAGCGTCCACACCCGCCACGGCTCGCGAATCCGCCTCGGTTCGAATCTAAGACAAACGAGAACCTAAATACCGTGTGCCTTGTTCTAATTAGTTTCCAGGAGAGAGAACAAGTTAGGGCGACGTCAGGTTGTACAAGTTTATGCTCGCCCTCTCCGGTAAATTCGTTTCAACACGGTGAAAAGCGGTAATCGTGGAGAACCGTTTTTCCACCGTGTTTGACCGTTCTGAACCACGATACAGGAACTGTAAGCGTGAGTGAAATATATAACCTGACGTCGCCCTTATCAAACCTCTGTCCCTCTCTGCCTCAAAATAGGTCGGTCTTGTCTTGCACCTCGAAGGGTGGAAAGGAGGGGAGAAGAACGAGGTTTTGCAATGGGGAATAGCGGGGGAAAAGCGCGGTAAATCCAGGGGACGCGATGAGATTTTTGCAGCAACGGGCAGAACAATCAGCCCGAAGGAAGGGGTGGACTTAGGGGAATTAACCGTTACACACGATGCTCGTTTGACTAACCCAAGGTTGCCATGTAAAGAGGGTTTTTAAGTGATTTTTAGCATTTCCAAAAATTCGTCAACTTCGCACCTAGCAAAAAAGGGCTTATAAAGATTTTGTAACTCCCCGTTGACATTTTGACTTCGGTCTCTTCTGTGTGACTTCGGTTTCCGTGGTTCGTATTGGTTCATAACCACTGCAACGAGGGGCTTGTAATGTGGGTGCAACGAGCTGGTAAAGAAAACACGGGTGCAGGCTTTCTATTTTTGCGAGGGCAAATTCGCCCGCAGGGGCTGAGCATCTTGTGTACAAGAATATAGAACCACACTCAAAGAGGGGTGTTGGGTTTGGAACTCAACGTAGCTGATTCTCATTGATGAGGGGATTGTAGGGTTGTCCCACGGGTATCCAAAGCAACCCTGAGACAGCCCTACAATCCCCTCATCAATCGAAGCACCCGCCATTGCAGGGCAGGGTCAATCCTGACCGAGGCGCTACGTTGGAGCATAAACAAAATGGAATCTGAAAGTGTAGCAGCTGGGACACGGTTGCCATAGACTGGGACATAGGATGCCTTGCTGTAAACCGAAGCCGTAGACTGCTCAGGTATGCTTACGTGTCACGGGCCTTTTGTTTGTGGTGTAGCTCAACCAGTCTGGACAGGGCTTGCTGATTCGCTGAGATGTTACACTCACTCCAAACCAAAGCTGGATGTCTTGCTGCTACTGGTTGAAAAATCATAACCACTCGCTTATCTGCCACTTCGGACAGGAGGAATATCCTTGGGTCGCGGAAGCACGCAATTCTCTGTGGTGTATTTGCCAAGGATGTACCTATCGAAATTTGTGATTCGTTTAGCCTACGACTCTCAATGCTGAGAGAAACATTGTAATGAATTAGAATTCATTACTCTACATTTGCTCCTAACGAGGTTTAAAGCTCGCGGCCCAAATTGTACAACTTTACTAAAGTTGCATGTTGGGAGGTGAGGGAGGAGGGTTGGCTAGTCGAGGTGTTGGGTGGGTTGAGGGCTTTGGTTTCGCCCAACTTCTCGCCAATCTCAAACACATTTCGCTGACTCAGTAGACCCCAGGGGCCACTTCGCGTTTGGTTGCATGAGTCCCATATTGCACAAATACTATCCTTGCCAGTTTCCCACCCAACCCCCTCCGCAAACACTGTTTCAATTTTGCTAGCCAATCAGCTCAGTGTTTCAAATTGACTAGCCAATCAACTTCCTTCGTACAACCCGTAACCTCAATTCGCAAAACCAGCACCTGCAAAACAACTATCAATCAACCTTACTAAGGTTGCCCAGCGCGGCCCGCAATTTGGGCCGCGAGCTTTAAGGAAAATTACTTCTCCTTGATTCGCGCCCCTGCCGTGTACACGACTGTTCCCACCAACGGTACCCAACAGTGCAGCGTTACCACTCGCCTCGACCACTGTTCACGGCGACCCAACCTCACGGTTCGGTTGGTAATCCGCGCCTCGGACCTCTGCCTCGACATTTCCCAACCTCGGCGTTAGGCCCGTAGTGCACCCCAATTTCTAGCGCTACCGTTAACATGCTAGCTCCGCAATATAATCTTCGCTCATTCATTCGCTCAATGTATTGTTTTTGCTTCGATTGTGCAATTCTCGCTCGCTCACTCGATTGTGCTCGTAACACTTGGTATTCAGAACCTACGCTCCCTTCTCAGACCGCGCCCACACCTTCGCTTCCCCATTATTGCAAAATTTGGAGAGGGTATACGTCCCTCAGCAGCCAAGCACCGCTGCTCGTACGCTCGCCGGTAAGCACACACGGCCACAATGTCAAAGAACAATCTTACTTGGAAGCTATAGTGGGGCACTCTTTATGGGGTACAGCACTTCTAGGGTTAGTACTTGTACCCCAACTCTTGCTAATCCAACCACTCCTGCACAATTATTCTGACATGGTATCAGAGCAGGAAACATGCTAGGTTCTTAGGGCCCACCGATAGTTCCGCTCTCTCCTGCCCGAAGCGCCCTCGCACTTTCCGGCCCTGCTTGCTCAGTGTAGCGCTGCCTTGCAGCTACTCGCACTACCTGCCCTAGCACGCTGCCCAGCTGTCACGCGCGCCCCTCCTACTAGCAAGCAGCCCCTGCCTTGCGCGCCCCTTCTGCCCGCGAGCAGCCTCTGCCCTAGCGCGCCCCGTAGCCCTAAGCATGCCAGCGCGCCTCGCAGGCCAGCGCGCCACACTGCTTAGGGCGCCAACGCGCCCCGCAGCCTAGCGCGCCAGTGCGCCCCGCAGCCCAGCGCGCCATCGCGCCCTGCAGCCCTACGCGCGCCAACGCGCCCCACTGCGAAGCGCGCCAGCGCGCCTTGCAGCCCTAAGCGCGTCAGCGCGCCCTGCAGCCAAGCGCGCCAGCGCGCCCTGCTGCCCAACTGTCAGAACATTATAGCTTATGCATTTGTGTAGGCTGTAGTGGGGTAGCCCATAAGGGGTACAACCCAATTAGGGTTAGTACTTGTACCCAACTCTTTCATAGTTCATTTCATCCTCGTTCTAGTCTTCTCATGGTATCGAGCAGGTTCCCTCGTGGGAACTGTTCCTAGGGCCCACCAATTCGATTTTTTTTTTTCTGCCTGGAGCGCGCTCAGTTCCTGCCCGAGTCGCGCTCCCCTCTCTTGACCCTCTCGCGCCGCCTTAGCGGCCCCGTCGCGTCACGCTAGAGACCCCGTCGCGTCGCCCTCGCGGCCCCATCCCGTCGCGCCGCCCTAGCGACTGCGTCCCGCCGCCCTAGCGGCCCCGATCCGCCGCCCTAGCGGCCGCGTCGCTTACTCATGCGGCCCCGGCGCCGCCCTTCCCGGCCCAGCCCTGCCTCTGCTAGCCCCGTCGCCTAGCCCTGCGGCCCCGACGCCAAAATTCCCGGCCACGACGCCGCCCTTCCCGGCCCCGATCCGCCGCTCTGCGGCCCCGTCGCCTACCCCGCGGCCCCGGCGCCGCCTTTTCTCGGCCCCGACGCTGCCCTTCCCGACCCGGCCCAGCCTCTACTGGCCCCGTCGCCTACCTTGCGGCCCCGGCGCCGCCCTTTTCCGGCCCCGACGCCGCCCTTCCCGACCCGGCCCCGCCTCTGCTGGCCTCGTCGCCTACCTTTGCGGCCCCGACGCCGCCCTTCTCGGCCCCGGCACTGCCCTTCCCGGCCCTGGCCCAGCCTCTGCTGGCCCCGTCGCCCGCCCTTCCCGGCCCCGGCCCCGCCTTCACGCGGCCGCGCCGAGCTACTGCCGAGCCGCCAGCGCCACCCGAGCCGCCTGAGCCGCCGCGCCACCTGAGCCGCCCGAGCCGCCAACGCCAGCCGCCCGAGCCGCCCGAGCCGCCCGAGCCGCCAGCGCCACCCGAGCTGCCCGAGCCGCCGCACCACCTGAGCTGCCCGAGCCGCCGTACTGCCCGAGCCGCCAAGTCGCCGGGCCGTAGTTGCCGCCGAGCCGCCCGAGCCGCCCGAGCCGCCGAGTCGCCGAGCGGCCGAGCTGCAGTTCCTGCCGAGCTGCCGAGCCGCCCGAGCCGCCCTGTCCGGTAAGAGCAGCACCTCTGTCACTGCACTGCCCTTACCCCACTGCTCGCGCTACTAGTCTACTGCTGTGATGGCTACCCCTAGTGTTCTCGCTTTTGACGCTGAAGGTCGGGCCATTGACTTTGACGTCAAGGTAGATGACCTGCAGCTTTTCCTACAGTGCGATAGGGCAGATGGTCTCTCCCTCTTTGACCTCACCTCTGGTGCCTCTCCTGCCCCTGCTACTGATGCTGACGCCACTGTTCGCTCACAGTGGGCCACACGCGATGCTGCTGCACGTCTTGCTGTGCGTCGCCACCTGCCTACCTCTGAGCGTGCGCACTTTAGCCAGTACAAGAGTGCTCAGACCTTGTACGACGCTGCAGCTGCACGCTACTCCTCCCTTGCCACTGCTGCACTGAGCCGCCTCATGCTACCATACCTCTTCCCTGACCTTGCTGCCTTTCCCACAGTCGCTGACCTCATTACGCACCTCCGCACTAGTGACACTCGCTACCGCGCTGCGCTTCCTACTGAGTTCTGCGCCAAGAACCCCCCCCCCCATGTACATCACTCTCT